ATATCTTTTCTACAGTTCATCATTTTTCAGTATTGTAATCACAGTAATCATAATAGAAGAGAGCTAAGCTTGTATTTCCACAAAGAAGCAGCAAAAAGCAATTTTGACATATCCAGGTAAATCACTCGAATCACTATAATCATAGTGTAAAATTTTATTTAAAACTTTTAAGTGAAATCAATTTGCTGCAGTTTATACTAAGTAATACGCAAATCTGTTTGTATTGCAGGTTTAATGAGCTACAAAATGTGGCCACTTCCTTAAAGCATGACTTGAAAAGACTTCGATATGCACTGTATCAACACTTCCCTGCCACTATAGAATCAGTATCTTTGCTCGAAAAAGTAAGGAGATGCAATCCATCAGCTCCACTAAAGAACGAAGTTGATCCTACGTAAATTTTTGATAACTATTTATAAGATTTAATAATACTTGTTTGTCATTACATATCCCAGATAAGTGAGTTTCTAAAGACACCTTTTAACTTGCTACAGAAGTATTTTATAACAGAAAATTAAAATTTGAACAAAATAAATTAAGTCACAATATTTTGGTTGTAGTTTAGATTAAAGTTTGGATATATTTTGATATTTCATTCGGCGAGTATAGTTCTAGTAAAAAATAATATAGTTTGCTTAAACTGGGTGTATTAAATAGGTGTCAGAAACTTTATAAAATAAAAATATTGACATGATTATTTTTTGGTAAAAAAATTTGATTAATAATTATATTTTGTTTTTTTATTTATCACAAATTCTTAGTCAATGTTTGCTATAAATTCTAATGAAATTGTTTATCACAAATTCTTAGTCAATGTTTGCCATAAATTTTAATGGAATTGTTTATCGTAAATTCTTAGTCAATATTTACCATAAATTCTTGGTCTCAAAAATGAGATATGATCTATTTATTCCTTTATTTAACGTCGCCAAACCAACGTTTTCCTGGAAGGAATTCCATGAGGAAAAAAACTGTTCACAACATAAATTGGTGCCACGAGTCAGGGATATCTACCATTGTAATCAAATATGGGAAACCGGTAAAAGAAAAATTAGAAAAACTTCTCGAACAAGTCAAAAGAATGAATTTAATAGCGTTGGATCAAATGTTGACCCAAGAAGAAATCTATCAGCAATACGAGGACGGAAAAAAAAAATTTTTGAAAAAAAAAAACAATGCGCCTCGAACTATATCTTGGCATGTTCAAAACTACCAACACAAATTGGATACGATATATCGAAGAAGTCTTGATTCTATCAAGAAAAAAAGAAAAATATATCCAAATAATAGATGCCGAAAAAGATATTTTAAATTTAATAAATGAAGAAAAAGGAATTATGACAACTTGAATTATGCGCAAAAATGGCTGTGAATTAGAACTTCAACACCCAAACCAAGGTTATATGAAGAATGAACCAACTCATCAACCGCAGTCAATCCAAAACAGCACATCATCTAACACTGAATTTGTCCCAATTGCCGCTGCCTATATTCAACGTTAGCCTGAAATTACGGGGAGCATTTTGGAGTAGTTTCGTTGCAGCAGTATATCCACAGAACATTCCAGAGGTTCAAAAATTGAATTATTTAGCTATATGTTTCAAAGGAGACAGCTTGTGCTACAATACAATCCCAAAGAATTATGACATTGTAAGAGAAGTCCTTAATGGAAAAATTTGGACAGTTATAAGTAATTAGAAAAATCGCTCTAGCACAAGTTTCATTCACCAAAAAAAAAAAAATGCTCAAGAATGGAAGGAAACAATCGAAGTTATTGAAAGAATATTTCGGCAGTAGAAGCCATGGATGAAAATTCAAAACAATTCACTATCGAAATCATGATTGAGAACAAATCGTTGGTCTGGAATTCTGGGCAGAATTTATCAGCAAAGAGAAGGATAAGGATTATGTTAGAATAATGATTATGCTTAACGAAATCAGGAAGCAATAAGAAGCCTTTCGCTCAATATTTAAAAAAGGACAAAAAATCAAATCAATTAAGGAATAGCAGAAATTATACTTACGATATATAACTACAGAAGAAACTTCTGCTTTAGTCTCCAACTACATTACAAGCGTATAAATTTAAAGAAAATGCAAACTCAATAAGAATTAGCAAGACAAGAAAGCCTTGTTGCCCATTATGATAAGGATCTTTAGGATACTGAACGTCAAACTTATCTCACTATCAATCAAACAGCGAATAGAACGATTGAAGAAAATTATCAAATAGGACACACAGCAACCATCTGCAATAAAAAGAAACGTTTACGTTTACGTTCCCATTGCAAGATCCTCATTATTTACCTGATCATAAAGTTATTAAGTCCAAGTAAGACGACAGCAAATTTCATCACACTCAAAGAGAATGAAACGAACGTGGACCTATAACACTTCCTGATTTGATAGGACTTCGATTCCGAATGATGAAGAATATTATAGTAGCAAATATTGAAAAAGCTTTTCTACAATTGAAATCACACCCAACAAGAAGGAACTTTACTCGATTCCTGATTAAAGGATATCTTAAATTTAGTACCAAGATTTCTAAACAAGATCAAACGAAAATACATACAGATCAAAAAGATCCTCAGTATCAACTGCGACGTCATCAATTGATATGGACAATAGGATGCATGAAAATTTAATTAAGAATATCAAAAGCGAATTAAGTTTAGCTATTGTTCCAGAAAATTAATTATTAATGTTGGAAATCAATCGAGAAGAAACATCTGATCCAGAAAATGTGAAATTCCAATATGTTTTCAATACTTAACAATGAGAATTCGGATAACAACGTAACGTAAGTGTATCAAAGAAGTGAAAATCGAGACAACGTTTTCATTCAACAGTCCAATACCGATTGCAAGATAAATATTATAATGGTAGACATGCCCGATTCATGACACCAATTTATGTTGTAAAATTTTCTTTTTTTTTTGTAGGATTCTTTTGAGGTAAAGTTTTGATTCTAAAGAATCATATTTTTAAGCCATTAACTGCAAAATTGTCCTTTTGATTAATTCTTAA